TCATTCAATTCGATATTTGTGACTGTTACGCATCCACTAATTTAGAAAAAAAAATACTGTCTTATTAGTGTCAGCGAAGTCAAAATTATAAAGTAGACATAAAAACCTATATTATTCCATAATGGTATTCTGTGGACCAAAAGAAACATCAGAGAATGTGTCTTTGCTGCGGAGTTGATGGAATATTGATCGAATAAGTTTTATTTTCGACATTAAGTACTCCGAACTCTCTAGAGACGACGGTGTAATTCTCTTCCGTAAAACAATTCCAAAATATATAGACCGATTGAGAAAGAACTGATACATATTTTTAAGGCTCATGAACTAAATATCACCCCCCACCATCAATGCTAAAGTGATCAACTTTCTCGATGTGACCTTGGACTTGATTACTGGTTATATCATGAAATATATATATATATATATATATATATATATATATATATATATATATATATCGAGACTGTTGGTACGGTAATGGAGATAAACAGACGACACAGACTGACCTTGGACACTGTCGCGTATAGACATAAGTGATAACGTTTTCGCTCACTTCCGTTGGAAGGAAAGTGTGTAGAGTGTGGTTGTCTCACCACTCCACAGAGTTTCCACCAGTGATCAAAGCTTATGAAAACAGTTTTGGCCAATTACAAGATTCACTAGGCCTGACAACAATTATCACGCTTCTTGTGATAATTTCCTATTCATATATATATATATATATATATATATATATATATATATATTCCATTGATACATCAGTTAAGATATATATATATATATATATATATATATATATATATATATATATATATATATCCATTGATACATCAGTTGAGAATCAAACCACCATCATAAGTTTCTAGATAAGTTAGATTATATATTAACTCCAGCAATAAGGAAATGTTTGATAATAATAAAATTAAATATATAAACGCTTTAAAACTAAGCAATCACCAAGTAAATTTAGGGCATTTAGAACAATACAAAAAAAAACTAAAATAAACAGAAACAGCGTTTAATCCACCTTTTAATCGTAATGTTTAAACGAATATCGGAAGAATTTTCGTAGATTTAATTCATAAGTACTTTAATTATTCACAAACACTAAAATGATTTTCAACAAAAATAATGCTATGATCAGCTATAGCTCATCATATCTTTATTTTCCACTTTTACATGCATTTTTCCATATATATATATATATATATATATATATATATATATATATATATATATATATTTTGGCAGTTTTTATTAAGACATGCCTCATTAAGTACTTTAGACGGGGAAAATAATACAAGAAGTGGAATGTGTTAGTAAGACTATCAGACTGGTTTGGCATGAACTACTATCAGCTCGACTCGATTCAATACCGTCCCAATACCGTTCGTCTCTCTTGAGAGGCGTAGTATATATAGCGTTAGGAAGAGTTCATTCTGTCGTTCTAGGTAGGTACCATGACAGAATCCTTATTAAAGGAAGAAAAAATTATCATGACATATATATATATATATATATATATATATATATATATATATATATATATATATATATATGTGTGTGTGTGTGTGTGTGTGTGTGTGTTTCTTTTCTGGACATATGTGTAAAAATTGTCCTTTTCTTAAACTGAATCTATAGATTCAGATTAAAAATAAAATGAAAAATGTAAATAAGAAATTAAAAAAGATATCCCTGATAATGGCTAACAGAATAGCCGAAAGCGCTCGGATATATAGAACAGAATATTTATTTAGAATATAAACCATATACCAAAGACCTATATAGCCGTAGATGCGTCAGTAAGGAATAAAACCACACTCATTACATTCTGGATAATTTACATACACCAGTCCAAATTAGATTATCTACTAACTCCAGCAATAAAGAAATACTTGATAATAATAAAATTAAATATATAAAAGCTTTAAAACTAAGCAGTCATAAAGTATGTTTAGAGTATTTAGAAAAACAAACAAACAAAAGAAGTAAAAAGAAAATAGAATCACCATTGGCGTAACATTATATAGTTTCATCCACCTTTTAATCATAATGTTCAAACGAATATCGGAAGAATTTTCCGAAATTTAATTTATAAGCAATTTAATTATTTCCCAACAGAAAAAAAGACTTTTAACAAAAATAATGTTAAGATCAGCGACTGTTCTGTTAGTAACATCGATAAATTTATATCCCAACATAACGATATTATATTAAACAGATACTTGTCTAACAAATACAACAAAGTTAATCTTTTAAAAAGTAAATGAAACTTCCGAAAAAATATGATCTATCCCTTGAAAGGGCAGTGTATGAGTGATAATATTGTATACCGAGCTAGTACACATTCCGGTAACGATGTCAAATTTTATTTTTGTTCTACTGAAAATCTTTGGAAATTTCGTTTCTACCATCATCGAATAAATTTAGACAATATAAAATACATAAACTCCAGCGCTCTCACAAAGAAAATTCAGATTTAAAGAATGGTGATAATACACCCATTATTACGTAGGATAAAGCTAATCTTACAATAGGAGAGGCGATAGATGTCATTTATGCCATTTTGAAAAATTACTTATTTTAAAACATTTAAATAACCATAGCTTATTAAAGAAGAGAAATGAATTGATGATTAAATGTAGGCCTAAAAGTAAATATCTGATGAAATACAATGATCCAAATTAATTTTTAATGTAAATTATGTTTTTTTTTACTTTTTAAGAACTAGTAACTACCTTTTTGCTTACTATAAAAAATAATATTCACAACTATAAAGTAATTTTTTTATCTCTCTCTATGCATATATATATATATATATATATATATATATATTAGGAATTGAAAAAGTTCTCGCTGACTTCTGATGAAAAGTAATTTCTATTTACAAAAATTAGAAATAAACATGTCACTGAAATTATTGTCCATCGCTAGCCACGACTTTTTCCCATCTTTCTGGCGGCATTTGAATCCCACGTCGGAAGAACGACACTTCATTTGAGGCTAAACACGAGCTGACCTAAGCATCATCATAAGAATGAAAGTGCTGCTCGGCCAGCAAATGTGCCATCGGCCGGAACAAGTGATAAACGGACGGGGCAATGTCTGGTGAATGCGGCGGATTGGGTAGGACTTCCCATTTAAGCGTTTCCAAGTAGGTCTTCACCCGTTTTGCAACATTTGACCTAGCGGTGTCACTTGAAAAATCACTTTGTCGTGTCGTTTTTTCTTCAATGCTCGACTCAAACGCATCAGTTGTAATCGATAGCGATCTCTCCTGACGGTTTCGGTCAGTTTGAGCCGCTCATAATAAACTGTACCCAGTTGATCCCACCAAATGCAGAGCAGAATCTTCGAACCATGGATATACGGCTTTGCCGCCGATGTTTATGGCCTGGTTTACCCCACGATTTTCTACGCTTAGTATTATCGTAGTGTATCCACTTGTCATCGCCATACGATGCAAAAAATCCTTTCATTGACTGCAGTTGAAACAGCAGTTCAAACATGAGAAGACGTCGTTCGACGTTTCTCGGCTTCAACTTTTACAACACCTATTGCTTTCAAAAGTTTCGAAACTGTGATGTGATCAACTCCTAATCTCTGAACTGACTGTTCGGTTCAACTCTCTTCCTACGGGCGAGGAACCCGAAGGAGGCTACGCCGAAGGGCAGAGTCTCCTTCGGGAGGTTAACTCGGCCCTGAACCCGTTTATACCAAATGGGCTATTTTTTGGCCGAGCCTAATGGCTCAAATTCCCCGTTAAAAAGGCCTTTCCACATGACCCTCGTGGGGGGTGACTGAATATTATCAACTCCTAATGATTCTGCAAGTTCAGCTTTTGTCTGATACGAGTCTTCATGAAGTATCTTCATCATCAAAATCAGTATTTTTGAAGCGTCTAAACCAATCTCTGCATGTTGTTTTCGACAGAGCATGGTCGACGTAAGTCTCAACAACACTTTTGTGTGCTTCAGCAAATACAAATTCTTTGGTACGAAATCCGACATGTTTAACGTTATGAAAAACAATATTGTTTTCACTTCGGCGAAATGGCATGCACTAAATTTCAAGTTGCTTATAGTACTTCCTTAAAAATGCGTTACCATCTGAAATGACACGTACGCAGTTCTAGGAAAGTCATCTATTTGAAAAAAGCGAGAATTATTCAAGGTCCCATATATATATATATATATATATATATATATATATATATATATATATATATATATTTTACATTATTCGGACTATTTGATTCATCTTTGTCGACATATTTTTCACACCGTTTCGGTCGTTGTACACTCCGGCCTTCTCCAGGTGGTTGGAATGTCGGAATGAACCCTTTATTTCGCTCACTGGGGTAGACTGTTGTAGTTCCACATGCCATGTTCATTCGATGTCAGTTATCAGTTATCTCGTGTTAATTCCCGTCGCCAAGTTATCCACTAACTTACACGGGTATTGAAGTCACACTCTTTGGGTCCTGTCACTGGATCTAACCAACGCCATTATCCACATTATACATATATATATATATATATATATATATATATATATATATATATATATATATATATAAAACACCTAACCTAACACCGTACTTATATATATATATATGTATGTATGTACGTATGTATTCCCACCAGTAGCACGACACTGAGTTTCATGCACAACGCAATCTTCAGGTACTAAATTTTATTAATACCAGCTCTCAATGTGCGATATTATATATATGTATATGTATGTATGTATGTGTGTGTGTGTGACAGAGAGAAAGAGAGAGAGAGTGCCAATCCATCATAGGTTTGACTTGCGAACGAGTATTCGTGAGCGAGCGCTCAAAACTGTCGCAGTATTAACATTGATTGTTGACACATGAGTAAGTCGCCGAATTTTATATCGACGCCAAATGCAGGCGGAGGATTAGTAGCTGAAAGGACCGATAAGTTTACGGAGATGTCTTATGCCTTCGACGCCCATAAATCGCTCACGAACAGACATCAATAGATAGATAGATAGATAGATAGATAGATAGATAGATAGATATGAACAGAAAATGAGATAGACAGATTAGTAGATAGATATAAACAGAGAATTAGACAGGTAGATATATTTGACCTGAAAATTAGATAGATAGATAGATAGATAGATAGATATTAACTGAGAATGAGGTAGATAGATAGATATTGACTGAGATAGATGGATATGAATAGTGTATGAGATAGATAGATAGATAGATAGATAGATAGATAGATAGATAGATAGATAGATAGATAGATAGATATGAACAGAGAATGAGAGAGACAGATTAGTAGATAGATATAAACAGAGAATTAGACAGGTAGATATATATATATAACTGAGAATGAGGTAGATAGATAGATATTGACTGAGATAGATGGATATGAATAGTGTATGAGATAGATAGATAGATAGATAGATAGATAGATAGATAGATAGATAGATAGATAGATATGAACAGAGAATGAGATAGGTTGGTAGATAGACATAAACAGAGAATTTGACCAGAAAATTAAATAGATTGATAGATAGATAGATATTGACTGAGATAGATATTAACAGAGAATAATATAGATAGACATATGCATAGATGTTCACTAGTAGATAGATAGATAGACATTAACAAAGACTGAAATATATAGATAGCTATTGACTGAGATAGATGGATATGAATAGTGTATGAGATAGATAGATAGATAGATAGAAAGATAGATAGATAGATAGATAGATAATGTTATTACACCTGTCTCCATGCAGTCAGTATATGAAATCTGTGTTATAAAGAACGCTGTGTTAAGCAATACCTACCCACCCGTTGGATACAGTTGGTGGAAATGAAGATTGTCAATAAACAAAAGTCAGGATTTGGGGAGGAGACGCTTGATAAATATGGTGGTAGCGTAAAAATCAACACAAAGAAAAGGCCGTCGAGCATGAATACACCCTTCTAGTCATAAAAAAGTTCGTCAACGAACCGCAACACCACGCTTTTGTCCTGCAAATATTTAATAGCTGAGTATTTTGTTTAATCCCAGATCGTAAACTATAATTTGCATAGAGAAGAAACTAATATTTACCAAAGCATATTTGAATTCCTTCAAAAGCTTTAGACAACAAAAACATTTTTTCAACGTTTCACCTAACCTATATTCTGATAACAAAAAATTCGTCATGTCATTTGCTCCTGGAAAAAAAAAAACACGTGTCTATCTTATTTCATAATTTACGTTTCCAGCAGAAAGAATTCAACAAGGCGGTTTTATTTTCGTTTAATTGCAGTTATTTTCGACGAATGACGAATACATATTCAAATTATTTTCTTAAGTCACTGATTTACCACTGAAAGGCGACTCTGTTAAATAGATATATTTCTGTATACGTTAAGCGGTAAAGGTTTTAACATTTTCCCTATGTATTGAACGAAAGAAAACTGGATTTTGAAATACTAAAACAATCCAAGTTCAATATTTTTAATTATTTCACCCTAAGCAAAGCAAATAAAGCCACTAAGACACAAGAGGTTACTGAGTGCAGATGAATATGTAAAAAAGAAAAAAAATTATTAAGGAGAAAGAGCAATAAAAGAACAGAAATTAAGAAGACAACGTTTAGTGTAGGGTTACGGCAAGTAGTACGCACACAACTGCCTCATAGATATAAATATCTAAGAGGCAGTTGAGTGCATACTACATTGTGACTTTTTGACTTTGTATGTAAATGAGTCATCTCATTTCCCTGTACAGAAGAGGTTTTATCACCCTATTTTCCCTGGTACTTCTTGGAGCTTTTGTCTCATCACTATCTTCCTGACTTTCCTTAAGAGATTGTCTAGATATGGCAGATCGTGATCTTTTCCTTTTTTCATAAGAGTGTTCCGCCAAAGATTGTTATTTTGCTAGCGTTTTCGTAATTTCATTTCTTGAAAATATGATCATTAACGCTTGTTTCACGGTCGACCTTCTTTTGTTGGAAACCTGTATTACCTCTGACCACCCTGAATACGAATCTATTAGTAATAGTAATAATGTCACTCCCTTAACCTGGGTATGATACCTGTGTACTCTGTCCCAAGGTTGGGACCCTTTAGGCCATGTATATGTTTTTGCCTGTCTGAATTTTCCTCTTTCAATGAACGTTTTAAACCTTTTTTGATGTATTCTTCTACGTCTGTAGAATATCCTGCTCGCGATGCGTCTAGTTTTAATCTCCTTTGCGCAGACGTTATTCCGCAACTAACATCGTCATGTATGTTTTTTTGTTTGTTTGTTTTATTTTTCATGCTACTCCTTTGCGTTGCTAGCAGAACCAATACGTCTCCATTACAAATAAAACACTTTTCTACGATTATCTTGTGTGTAACCTCTTTAAAACTTTGTGCTCCTGAGCTATTATTCCACTTATTTTTTTATCCTGAACAACATACTGCTCAATATGGGACCTCGCCTCATATCCTCAATTAATTTGTCTACCGACAGAATATCAGTTTCGAACCAGTATAAAAAAAAGCATCATCGAAATTTTTCCTCTTCTTTCTCACTTTCAGAAGGAATGAACCCCAATCTCGACAAAGCGTCTACAGGCCGAATGTTATTGTCCTTCACGTACTCAATATTAAAATCAAACGTCATTAATATTAAGGCTCATCTTAGAATTCTAGAAAACGTTACCTTAGGAAGTTGCTGCCTACGATTAAATACGAATTCTAAAGGTCTATAGTTGGCCTTTAGTAGGAATTTCTTTTCACTCAAAAACAGATGAGCTTTATTTGTCGTCCATATTGTGGTCAAAGCTACTTTCCCAATATTTGAGTAGTTCAATTCAGCTTTTACCAATTTTCTCGAGAGATACATAATAGGATGTCCATTTGGAACTAACATTTTCGAAATTGAGCGTTCACTAGCGTCAGTCATTATTATTTCCTTTCTAGGGGAGATTATTTTTACTTCTGGCTTCTTCGCTAGAACAGTTTTAAATTTTCAAAAGCCACTTGTTCTTTTGTCCAAATAAATTCCACATTCTTTTTTATTAAAACAGCAAAAGGTTCTGTCAATTCGGAGTATCGCTCTATATATCTTCTGTAGAAATTTACTAGTTCCAAGAAAGATTCCAATTCTTTTTGTTCTTAGGTACTTCAACATTTTAATATTTTGTCAATTAACGATTGGTCTGATAATATACCTTCGTTAGATATGGAATATCATAAAAATGATTTTTTTTCGTGTTGTACACACATATTTTTTTGTTAATTGTTAATCCAGCATATTTTAATTTATTCAACACCATACTGTTTTTTTTTCTATTTTAATTCTCCGTCGTTAATAGCACCAACACAAATGTCATCCTGGCAGCATATTGTATTTTTCATATCGCTACCAATAACTACCTTTATAGCTCTTTGAAAAATCGCATTTGTGTTTTTAATTCCACATGTTACTCTTTTCCATCTTAAGGCCATTTACGTGTTTATTGTTGTGACTTCTTTAAAGTCTTCGCCAATATGTATTTGACGGTATGCCAACTTTAGATCAATTTAAGAGAATGTTTTCATACTCGAAAGGGAGTTCAAAGTTCATACTACATTGGGGATCAGATATGAGTCTGTACATATTACAGTGTAACCCGGATATAAGAGACCCTTATATAAGAGAAACCCGGATATAAGAGAGATTTTATCTGGTCCCCAATTAGAGCCCATACTTACCTAAACAAAATAGACCAAACCCAGATATAAGAGAAACCCGGATATAAGATACTTCTTCTCCGGTCCCGACAACTCTCTTATATCCGGGTTACACTGTATGTGGTTTACACTTATGTTGTAGTAAGCACAAATGCGTTGAATCCCATCCTTCTTTCTAAAGATTACTAACGGAGAGGCCCATTTGCTCCCTCCTGCCGAAATAAGTTCAAGTAGATTTTGTTCCAGTAATCTTTTTTCAGTTTTTCCACAACTATAGAGGAAAATATGGTGTGGAGACATTTTCTATTAGTCTTAACTTTGTTCTATGTTTTTTTTTTAACATTCCAATTTCTTTCGCATTGACTTTGTTTACTAATTTTGTCGAATTTATCTTCCATACATTATTTCCTGTTAGAGCATAATTCTTTTCACAGTTTGCCACGATAATTGGTAATATGTCAAACTTATTTTTTAGTTCCACGTAGGCTTCAAAATAGCCTAATGTTTTTATCACGGATCTATCGAAAGACTTTTCTTTAATCTTGGTTTTCTTAATTTCTTCCAGAAATTTCTGTGTATCAACGTCACGTCACTTCCCATATCTAGTTGCATGTCTAATAAAACATTACTGATTCAAATTTTTAATAACCCTTTGACATTTTTTCAATGAAAAGTCGTTCATATTTATTTCCTCTTCATTCTGTTGGACTGTCTCTACTTTTTTTTTTTTTTTTTTTAATTTACACATACGTTTAAAATGATTCATTTTGAAACACTTTTCACATTTCTTTATATGCCGGACATTTTTGTTTTTCTCTTTCATGTTGATATCCACAAAAGGTAAACAGTATTCTGTCAATTTTCTTTATCGCGTATGCGTCTATTTCCTCTACTGAATTTTTAACTTTTTTCGATTAAATTTTCGAATTAATTCTTCTTGCTGAACAAACGCGACACTATTCTAGTGACAACTTTCTCAGTTCTCCTCATTTTGAAAGCCTTTTACAAATTTCATTTGGTTCAAATCCCCTTCGATTGACTGGTTTTCCGATCCCAGTTTCTCAAATTCACAATATTTAGCGGCCTGTTTCAAACAAATTAAACAAATATTCATAAACTTAGCTCTCTCTGCATCCACTATTTTTTGTTTTGTTTTTTCTAGGGTGCTATCTTTTTCACTATTATTTGACTTATATCGTCAAACGTAATTTCCTGCAACTGCCTTGGAATGCAATTGTCACTAATCTTATAATGACCTCACAACCATCAGTTGCCAAGAGAACAAATATTTCGTTTTCTCCTCCAAATGATTTTAAATCCTTCAGCTTTTTTGTCCTAGTTTTAGCTGGTAGTATCATAAGCCACATTTGTGCTTACTAATAATTACCAAGAGATAATTGTTCGTTCGTCTTCTTTAGATATTGGTGACGCCATTGTAAATGTAGTGTTACTGACTCACGGGAAGTAGTAGGCACTCAACTGCCTGATGGGTAATAGCTTGATCACAAATAATTTGTGACTTCATATCTAAATGAGTCATCTCACAACGATTGACATTGCATTTAAATTTTTGAAAACCGAAGTTGATTGCGAAGCAAGAAGCCGAAATGACAAGCGAGAAATGCTAGAGAAGAAAATGTAAGCATAGAACTTGCGGTTGCATCTAGCAATTTGATCTATAGATTGATGAGACTTAGATGCCAGTCTAGAACTGCGCTTAAATTCGTAAAGTCGACGTAGCAAAGAAAAAAAGCTCATCAGAACAATTACCATGAAAATACTTATAGGAAAGGCGCAGGGCATCTACCTTCAGGTGGTGTAAAGTAACTGAATCCGAGATGCCAAGTCAGGACCGATAATATTGCTGATTCTTCTTTGGAATTCATCAAGAATCTCTAAACGCATAGCAGGAGCACCAGACCAGATGTGGCAGCAATATTCCATGCATGGAATAATTGTCGACTTATAATTGTGTAAGATATATTAGAAATTATAACATAAACACACACACACACACACACACACACACATATATATATATATATATATATATATATATATATATATATATATATGACGTCACACATTATGAAATGGACAAAGTCCGACAATTATTTTAAGACATTTTTATGTTTATACATTCTTTTTATAGATACAAATATTTAAGTAAATGCTCTGTTTATAATAATCAGTATTAAACAACATTTACCGGCCTGAATGTCCGAGAAATTTTCATAGAAAATATTCGTCCTCCGACAGGATTCGAACCTGTATCCTATACGGAACCGTCATTTAGCTTGATGTGCCAAATCGGTAAAGGCACGTCAAGCTAAATGATCTGAATGTCTTGTCACCCTTATATAATATAATTTCCTATTTCACCGCTCTGTGGGGTATTATCAGAG